CGCCTGCGCGCGGTCGCCAAGCGCCGAACGGCCAGAGGTGGCCGCCGACGCCGCGCTCGCCGCCCCCGCAGCTGGCGCCACCTCTGCCGCCATGCACCCAGCCTGCACGCGCAGCAGCAGCTTGGCGGCCTCGCCGACAGAAGCGCCCGTCACGAGAGAGGCGCCATGGCGCACCGAGAGGCCGCCGCGCCCGCGCTCCCGCGGGGTTCGGCGCGGCTGCGGCGCTCCAGCGAGCGCCTCCGCTAGAGCCAGAATGGCTACGGAGGAGGTGGAGAAGGAGGAGGAGGAGGAGGAGGAGGAGGGAGCAGGAGGGAGCAGGAGGAGGCGGGAAGCAGGAGGGAGTATGCTTGAAGTGGTATGGCCCAGGGGCGCATTCACCCTGGTGGTGGGGCCAGAGGCCTGCCGTTCCACCATAGCACTACAAGGGGGAAGAGGGGCAGGGCATCGAGGATCGAGGTGTCAGAGCGGCTGTCGCCCTTAGCCCACGGAGGCCTCCAGGAGCTTCCAGAGACCTCCAAAGATCTTCAGCGACCCGTTGCGGAGGGAGGGAAGGGGTCAAGGAGGAGAACGAGAAGAAATGGGCGCGGAGGCAGGTTTGGGATGCGCTTGCATGTGCTGAAAAACTTCCCGCTCCATCTTTCCGCTTCCCTCCTCATTCCCCTCCTCCCTCCCTCCCCTCGTCCGTTCCTCCCGCTACCCCCTCTTTTCCTCCTCCCTTCGTCCCCTCCTGCTCCTCCCTCTCTCCCTCCCTCCTCTCCTGCTCCTGTTCCGTCCTCTCCTCGCTCCCCGGTTGTCCCCCCCCCGGCGCGGCCCGTGCCACTTTTGATGCCCGTGCAGCACCGGGGTGTCCTGCCGCATGGCCCCACAGGCTCCAGGCGAGCGCGCACGCGCGCGGCCGGCAGGAGATCACCAACTGCACGCGCAGCTGCCACTACGTGCCCGGCACCTTCTGCGGTGGCCCCCTGCGAAGAGGGAGGGAATCTCGTCTTTCGAAGAACAAGAAAAGCCATAAACATAAACTTTTGGCGCTCCGAGCGGATTTCTTGGATCTGCGCTGGCGGCGCCTCCGGCGTCGCCCCTGGCGCGCTCCGCGCGCCAGGGAGGGGGGTCCAGCGCAGATCCAAGAAATCCGCGCGGAGCGCCAACAAGTTCATGTTTATGTGTTTCTCTTCTTCTAGTCTTCGTTATTCTTTTCGTTATCCTCCCCTTCCTCGTCCTCCCTCTTCTCATGTCCTCCCTCGGCCTCCACCTCCTCCTGCATCTTTTTTCTTGGTGTACACTTTCACACCATGAATGCTACACTCCCCTCTCTCCCCTGACTTTGTCCGGAAGATGTTCGGCCCTCTTCGCGTATGGTTTCTTACACGTGAAAGTCCGAAAGTACGTTTTTCATTTTGCTTTACCATCTGATCGTGTTCGGTGCTTCAAAATTGTGGGATTCAAAGGCGACGGGATTACACCATATTATATATAAAGATGTTTACCTATATTCCTATATATTCATATGTGCATACAGATACGTACACACGTACACATCAATATGCAATCAAAACGATGCGCTATCAACCGGAAAGTTGGCCGTTGAAGAAAGGGCATTGTCAGCCGAGTATGTCGGGGTCGGCTGTCCAATGCCCGTTTCACATGCAATAGAAGTTGCAAGTAAAGTTTTTTTCGCAGGGAGCATGTACTGAGGATGCCATGATCAAGGAGTGCGCAGTCGGGGTCATGTTAGTGATAAAGTCTTAGAGAGGATCCTTGTAGTATGTGCTGCCTCGGTAAGGATACCTGTAGCAAGGATTCCTCAATATGGTTTATTTCAATGGGATCCTTTTGCAAGGATGCCTTTAGAATGGATTATTTGTCAAGGATTCCTTCAGTGCGGATTCTTCCGTAAGGATGCTTTTCGTGCGGAATATTTGGTAAGAACGTTTGTATTACGAATTGCTTCAGAATTCATCCTTGTAGTATGGATTCCTCTGTAAGGGGTCTTTGGCCAGAGATACTTGGGATCATTCAGAAGGGTCCCAGTGCTAAGTACTCTTTGGTAGGGACCCCTTAGGGGGGATCCATAGTAAGGGTACCTTTAGTAAAGAGTCATTAGTAAGGATCCCTGTTAGTAAGGAGTTATTAGTCAGACCTCTTTATCGTTCTGCTCCGTTACCATCCTTCTCCTCTTCCTCATCCTGCATTATCATTTCTACTCGCTCCTTCCGATTCCCGTAGTGGATCCAACGACGTCGCGCCGTTGACGACGATGTTCACCCATCTGGGGTGTTCCGAGGCATCCTCGTTAGGCTGTGCTCTGCTCGGACATTTTGCTCTGCACGCGTTGCCCGAGTCACTCTCGGGCGCAGTGCGGAATCTTGCGGGCTGGGGGAGGTGGGGGAAGAGAAGCAGGAGGAGACCTGCAACAAGAGCGGGGATTTCAAGGAGGATGGGGAGGGATAGGATGAGGAGGGTGGAGTAGAAGGTGTCCTCCTCTGCTTGCTGTGTGCTTTTCTTTCTCGAAGCTCTGTTGTTCCTCACGCCTTGCGTGGGTCCTTCCTTCAGTGTCACCCTCGGCCTTCTTTGTAGACCGGACTGCAGCTGCAGACAAGAACGGGCACCGCCTCCTCCTCCTCCTCCTCCTCCTCCTCCTCCTCCTCCTCCTACCCGAGCATCCTGATGACAAAAATCTCTGACTGCCGTGCGGCGCAGCCGCCCCGTGCATTGGCTGCGAAGTCTCCCCCACCGCTGCACGCGGGAGGAGGTCTGGACTGGGGCTGCTGGCACGGCCGCGTTGCTGCCGGAGGTGCTGGCTTGGAGCGAACGTTGGGCCTCGCGTAAGTAGGGGGGGGGGGCGAGAAAAAAGGGGAGGGCGGCGAGGGCTGCAGAAAAGGAGACTTCTAGGGCCCCTGAAGGGGGCCCCCGAGGGCCCAGAACTGAGCCTCGAAGGCCCGAAAAGGGCACCTCTCTTCCCCCTCATGTATCGCCCCCCCCCCACTTATCGCCCCCTTCGCCATGTATCACCCCCCCACCTTTATTTTGCGCCCAACAGAGTCGGGCGGGCGGCAGCGAGGGGAGCGCGGCAATGAGGGGGGGGGGGGGGGGGGCGAGGGTTGCAGGAGGGTGGCCCCGAAGGGGCCCCAGACGGCCCCCAAGCTGCCGCCGCGGGCCCCAAGGGCGCACAGCAGGTGCGCGTGTCTCTCTCTCTCTCTCTCTCCCCGTTCACCTGACATCGCTTTCGAGGCCGTGGAGAGTAGGAGGAGGAGGAGGAGGAGGAGGAGGAGGAGGAGGAAGAGGAGGGGGAGGAGGAGGAGGAGGAGGAGGAGGAGGAGGCGGAGGAGGAGGAGGAGGAGGAGGGAGGCGGAGGAGGAGGAGGAGGGGGAGAAGGAAGAGGACGAGCAGCAGGAGGGGGAGCAGGAGGAGGAGGAGGAGCAGCAGGAGGAGGCCTCCTTGAAAATTATGTGGACACCTTGGGCCAGGGACACTGCTCGCAAACACCCCACCTGGGCGCGCCGCCAGCGCTCCGATGGGGCTAGAGTGGGTCGGCGGCGGTCGTGGGAGTGGCGAGGTAGGCCTCCATCGGCACGCTCGGGATTTGGTTACGCTCGGACGTATGCAATTTTTCTCGGCATGGGCCATGGAGGAGCATCCTGGATCCTCTTTCGAAACGACAAAAAAAGACCCCACGAAACCGAAGGATGCACGAGGAAGGGACGTCCGAGCGATGGCAGGTCCGGTGCCTCCCCGTGATGAACGAACACCCGAGTGAGAGCGCACCCTCAAAACACACATGAGGCATTCCAAAAATGGCCTTGCCTTCGAGGATCGAAGGAGTTGTCATCTCTTCCGCCGCGGAAGGCGGCGGAGGGCGGCGGAAGGTCGGCGGAAGTAAAACGAGGCCGCATCCGCCGGCGGAGGGCGGCGGAAGGCGGCGGAAGGGCGGAGGGCGGCGGAAGGGCGGCGGAAGGGCGGCGGCGGCAGAAGGCGGAAGGCAGCGGAGGGAGGCGGAAGGCGGCGGAAGGGCGGAAGGCGGAAGGGCGGCGGAAGGGCGGCGGACGGCGGAAGGCGCGCCCCCAAAAGATGACAACTTTTTGGGGTTCAGGGTTTCCGAAATCGCCCACATGTCGTGACCGAAATCGCCTAGTCTTAGGTCGGGCGTGTCCCCCTACAGGCGGATTCTGGACGAAAAAATAAAAAATACCCAAGACAGACTCCAAACATACTCAAAAAGAATCAAACCTGTAGAGGGAAAGGCCCGACCTAACCCTTGTCCTGCCGCTGCCCGCTGACGGCCCGGCCGGGCCGCTGGCGCCCTCGGCTCGCCGCGTCGCGGCCAGGCTGGGTCGACTGGGGCCCGTGGACCCCCTGCTCGGCCACCTGCGGCCAGGCCGGGTGTGCTTTTCTTGGCAGCGGGGCAAGAAGTCATGACGATGATGATAATGGTAACAGTTTAAAAGAATAGTACTAGTAATAGTCGTATCACGGATTCTATAACTACTAGTATTAAAGAAATTATGGATACCCATAATAATGCGAAGGGCAATGCTAAGTGTAGTAGTAATACGAATACTTACACCCACCATAAACACACTGAGCATGATAATGATAAATATTGTAGTTGCAATAAAGAACAGTAACCATATATATCTATATATTATGTAGTATTAACGATGCGACCAATAGTAGTGATGATCATGACACTAACAATCATAATGATGTTGAAGATGATGTTGTTACTCATCATCATCATCATCATCATCATCATCATGATTGGGACGCTGATGATGGTGATGATGGCCTATGTTGTGGTGGTGGTGGTGTTAATTGTGATGGCGATCGTGATGGTGACGATGATAATGAGGATGAGGATGAGGACGAGCTGAGGCTGATGATGTTGGTGGTGGTGGTGCTGGTGATGGCGATGGTGAGGATGAGGATGAGGATGTGATGGTAATGATTGGGGATAAGGATGGGGATGAGGATAGTAATGCTGGTGCTGGTTATGATGCTGATGC